AACCAGGGCCAAAGTGAACCCGCGGCCCTACGGGTCCGACACCGCGCAGACCTCGCACAGCTTCGGACCACGCGTGGATACTTCGACTCGGTCAACAAACGGGACAAAGCAGAACATGACAAAAGCGACCAGGATCAAAAAGGAACCCGGTGTGAAGGGAGGGAAAAACCGGTTATAGCGTCTTGTTGTTCACTACTGAGATGTACCAAAGATTTGATTTTAAATGACTACGGCAAACATATAAGCTTTTTATTCATTACTTAGAGTTGATATTCGCAAAGGAAATTTATTATTAAAGCAGTAAACAATGAGGCACAAGTGATTTCAATTGATTTCATAATTTTCTTCTAATTCATTTTTTTTAATTGGCAGCTATTTTTTAACTCATAATTTTGTGGCCGTAGTCAATATAAAATTATCACGTAGTTTAATATTTAAACCAAATGATATTTGCATGCTTTTTATATTTGCACTTGAGATTATAAGAATGATTAATTACAAAATATTGTCCGTCCCAATAATGAGCGACAAGTATGCTATTCAAAACAGGGATATACAGGGGGTTCCTACATTTGAGATTATTAAAACGGTCCTCAAAATCGTCTCTTTTTAATATAATGTTGTATAGCATTTAATGTACATTATTTATTTAACATTCCAAGTCTCGAATAGTTATACATACTGTAGATTATTAAATGTATAGACATTCCCCCCATTTTACCATAGTTCGACCAAAGAACTTTAGATATAAAACTGTTAGTTAAGCTCAATTTGTAAACATAAAAGACCAAACAGTATTTAAGCTACTGACATTTTAATTGTAAGTTTACATGAATAAAGAATGTATAAAATGCCATATTAAATTTATTATCAAATATAAGTAAAATGACAATATTGAATGTGTTATTGAGTTATTTATTATTTGTTTTTTATTCATAAAATGCGATCAATACAATGTTTTAAAAATAAACCATTTAAAATAACATTGAATGTTTTTTCTTATTTCTACAAAACAATTACAAATTTTTGATAATACCTTCCCAAAGCTACTATTTTACCATTCACCAACTTGCCCTTATCCCTTATGGAGGGTCGGCACAGTATGTGCTGCTCTTCCATACATCTCTATCAGCCGTCACCTGAATCCACTCCTTTCTTAAGCATATCCTCCTTCACATAATCCATCCATACTTTCATCGGTCTTCCTCTTCCTTTGTAACCATCCAAATTCATTCTTAACACTTTCTGGTTTACGTCCCCATCGTCTCGTCGCATAACATGTCCATACCACGCTAACCTTTCGCTTCTCAATTTCTCCACCACTGGCGCAACTTTCAAACTTCCTCTAATATACACATTCTTAACTTTATCCATACTTGACACACCATACATCCATCTTAACATACGCATCGCAGCCACATGCAATCTCCTTTCATCCGCAACTTTGGTGGCCCAACATTCAGATCCATACAATACGACAGGTCTTATGATGGACTTGTAGATCTGTCCCTTAAGCTTAAGAGGCATTCTTGGATCACAAGTCGCACCAGTAACCTGTCGCCATCTCATCCAACGTGCATTAATGATGCCTTCTTCAAAGCCACTATTTTACCATTAAATTAACTAAACAAGAAAGGAAGCTTCAATTTTTTTTCTTTATATTGGAAATGGCCAAATAATGCCGATAAAACCATATCAATAAATAAAGTGACCTCTAGTTGACAGCAAGTAAGTTACTGGTTTGATTTATCTAACCATTGTGGGAATCGCTACTTTTTGGACACTTCCCAAAATGTCTGAAATATACGTCCGCTTCAGACTATTATCTATTAAACGAACGGCAACGTAGAAATTGCTTTTCCGGACACTATAAATATTTGAATCCGTCGTTTGTTTTGTTTACGCGATAAGTCGTCTTTTGTTTTCGAATCGAAAACAAAAATGGAACAGCATCCTTTGTCAGGAACCACGAAAATACTGATAACGATATTCGAAAACAAGTAATTTCAAACCTTGAACTATCTCGAAATCTAATCTAAATTCTGTTTTAGTCATAATATTGGTAACTATCGTACAGTTGTAAACAGGACTACGTCACGGCCAGACACGGCACTTGTATTTCCCTTAGCGCTAGAGAGCTGTCACTTTCACGAATTACTCTCCTTATCAAATAATCGACGTCTCTTAATGGAATATTTAAAAAATAATTATGTTATAATGGTATAGTCTAATAAATTAATAGGTTTTACTTTTTCCGTCCTATCCTTCCTTTGGAGTTATTTTCAAGGAATTTTAAACTTATATAATAGTAATGAAAAAAATAAAATCAACAAAGAGCGTCGGAAATCACTATTTACTAATTTTATTGGACAGGTGTCTCTGTTTAATCCAGACATCAAATCTAGACATTACCAGACATAAACGAATCAAAAATATTGTTTTAATTAAATCCCTGTTGCTTGTGTACAAATGTCCTATTTAATATTTATCTTTTAGTCAGATCACGTGCTTAATGCAATATTGGCAGGAAACAAACTTTCTTATCAAGGACGATTCCAGCCGGATCGGGAAATTGAAATGAAAGGAAATAGGTTATACGTGATTAGCTTAAAGCAAACAATATACGCAATTCAATAGAAAACATTTTAATTACAATCTTACCTTTTTACATGTCCGTATTTCTTTTTAAATCTAAATTAGTTTAGCGGAGAGTCTTATTCGACATTTATCACTTACTAGCTGTTCCCGTGCGGCTTCATCCGTATGACAATATGAAATCTTTATTTTATTGTTTACATTTGTCAAATTCTCAATTGTAAATGTCAAAATACCAATTACTTTACTATGGCAATCTTGCTACCTTAATGTTGGCAGCAACTTCCATAAGTTCCATAACTTCCATAAGTTGCTGCCAGCATTAAGGTAGCAAGATTGCCATTCTCTTTCCCACATTAGGGTTTTTATCCAAAATATTTTCCCCCTAAGTTTAATGGCATGAAAATATATAGCCTAAAGCATGACGTAAGTGTAGGGCTTTTTATTAAAAAATATGCTGTAATTGCTGACATCTTAGGCAACAAAGAAGTGTGTGTTTACGCTTTATTATAATATATAGTGTATAGATTATATGTATAGAAAAACAATAATGCCTTCGGTCTCGTCCTCTTAAAAAAAGTGATAATATTCGTGTGTTGGTGCTACGGCTGATTCATATTAAGACTTCCTTTCAAACAATCGTGTATTTTAAAAAATGTACACATAAATTAAACCATTTTATATTTAACATATCAAGATAATGGCTTTCAACGTTACTTCGGTTAAGAACATACTTTCTGTGAATCGGTTTTCCATTACTCATAACTCCCGTAACTCGAGTCGTGTCGCTTGATCGACGTCGCGCTGATGTCTTGCTCTAATGGCATTCAAACTCTCGAGATAAGTTCAATTATTACGTTGCATTACTGTTCACAGTCAGAAGTTTCTTGTAATTCAGAACATAGAGTGAAATATAAAATTATTGTTTTTTCATCACAGATTAAAAAAAATCTATGTGGATAAACAAAAGATGTCCAGTGTGATACTTACGTATTTAGCAGAATCAAAGCCCTGGACCATACCTCATAATATCTATGTATTTTTTCCAAATGGTAATCATCATAATGGTAAAAAAAGTTAAAACAAAGACTTAATCTTTTCATTCTTTTTCTGTACATTCTTATACAAGTAAATTGATTACTTTTTATCTATTTTAAAACTTTCCTTCATAAAGAACCTTTATTTTCTGTGTTATAAATTTACTGGTTTACAAAATTTCTTAAACAATTCAAAAAATTTCCTAATCCCGCTAACAAAGCAATGAATAATTTACGTTTTCACGGTAGAATGGAAATGTTTTTCCAGTTATCAGAGTATATTACGTTAAATATTCTGGAAAACGAAAGGTGTGTTTTCCGAAAAATTTTTGTGTACCGTTAAAGAAAAAAAACATGACTTTTTTTTAAATAATAATAGTGTATTTAGTTAATGTCTCTTTTGTATACTTTTCATGAAAGTCTTGGCTCCTGTAGTAGATTTTTTTTAGATTTTAACTTGGATTCATTACTTTTAGATCCCATTGTGGTTTTCAATCATGTTGCAAAAGTTTTCCATAGTTGCTTAGACCTCATAGTATCATCTGTCATTGTTTAATTAACCTCTTAATATTAAACTTTGCTTGATAGAATATAGACAGGGATTATTCAATATTTGCGTAACGCATAAGGCAAAAGACTTAACTTGAAGTAAACATTGCTGGGCCGTTTAGATTGAAGATTGACTGACTTTTCGTCTCCTTTGGGTCTTTAGGAATTTGGAACAACAACAATCTTCAAACTTTACAAACCTTTGTTTAATTCAAACCAAAATCTTTACTTTGAAAGTAAAACTGCTTTTATAAATAAATAGTAATCTGTGACCTAATTACTGGCATGATACACAATTAGAAATATAAAAAGTCTTCAAATGTACTTGTATATCAGATTTAAAGAAACCACGTTAATTATCAATACGAAAATAATTTCTAATTTCATTAATTAATTAACTTGCGACTTGGTGCTCAGAATTTAAAAAAAAATCTTAGTAATAGAAGTAATAACATTTCGCTATTACAAAGCTCCAAAAGTTGCTTTATAATGGTGTTTTTTTTTAAATCGGTCAGGCAATTTTAACGTGAATCAAATATAAAGAAAAATATTTTTTTTATAATATCAGTTAAGATATAGATGGTAACATTGGCGTAAAAGGTATTGAGATTGCATATTTTACGGTAGTCTGTACAAAAGAACGGATAAGTGCATTCCAATATCCCAGAGTACGTGAAAATGGAATAGGTGCTTTACCGAGGAAATGATTTTGAAAAATGTACGCAAAATTTACCCAAGGTGACGTTGCTTATACAAAATAAAAGATACATAAAGAAACATAATAACAGTAAATATGTGTAGACATTTATTATGTTTATATTAGTGAATTCTTGACTATAATAAATAACCTTGTAGTATTCTCATTTTCGATAAAAACTCTTTGATGTACGATGTAGTTTATGAACGTCGATGCAGAGATATTGAAAATAGTAGACACATTGGCCGGCGTCGCGCGCCGTCTGTTTCTTAGTAGACATTTTCTAATCTATATATATCTATCTATACTCTATACTATTATAATAAAGTGTAAACACACACTTCTTTGTTGCCTAAGATGTCGGCAATTACAGCATATTTTTGAATAATTCTTTTTTTTTATAAAAAGCCTTACACTTACGTCACGCGTAAGGCTATATGTTTTCACGCCATTAAACTTAGCGGGTAAATATTTTGTATAAAAACCCTAATGTGGGAAAGAGACCATACGATACAAGCTGTCAACATCAAGAAGCAAGATTGCCATATTAAGGTAATTGGTATTTTGACATTTGAAATTGATAATTTGCCAAATGTAAACAGTCAAATAAAATTGTCATAAATTCATGCGGATGAAGCCGCACGGGAACAGCTAGTGGAATATAATAGGAAAAAGGAAAGCAAAATAAGACTATAATTGTCCAGTTAATTTCTAATCTATAAGGAACGTGAAAGTCAATTTTAAGTGCCAATGAAAACAAATCTGAAATTTTATATTGCAATATCTAATTTGATGACGATAGGAAATTTATGTAATGTCCAATATTATCGAGGCAGACCGAATTTATAACTAGTTTAGTGAATCCCAACATGTGGTTGAAATTGCTTTTGGATTTACGAAACTAGTAGGGAAAATGTAGCTTTATTAAGACTTGAGTATTTAAAAAAATGTTATAGGAGATACGTGGGAAATGATATCAAATTCGAATTTCATAGACACAATTGGATTTCTTTGTTGACAAATATCATATACTAGCTGTTCCCGTGCGGCTTCATCCGCATAAAATTATGAAAGTTTTATTTCATTGTTTACATTTGTCAAATTATCAATAGCAAATGTCAAAATACCAATGACCTTACTATGGCAATCTTGCTTCTTGATGTTGGCAGCTTGTATCGTATGGTCTCTTTCCTACATTAGGGGTTTTATCCAAAAAATTTACCACCTAAGTTTAATGACGTGAAAACATATAGCCTAAAGCATGAGGTAAGTGTAGGACTTTTTTATTAAAAAACGAGCTATTCAAAAATATGCTGTAATTGCTGACATCTTAGGCAACAAAGAAGTGTGTGTTTACGCTTTATTATAACAGTATAGAATAGAATATAGAAATATAGATATACATAAAAATAGAAAAAAAACTGTAACTAACAATACTTTTGGCAACGATCTAACATTTGATCTTAATTTAACAATAGTAAAGTGCATGCAAGGGCACGTGTGACGAACTTTTTTCTCAATCTATAGAAAAATCAACGAAAAATATTCGATATTCAAGAATGAAGAAAACTTTATGATCTGTCTGACCTTTTATGCTCGAGTCAATTTTATTCAATTGAAGACTTGTCTTATTGCTTTTTAAATCTATCTCATCTTATCAGATAAAGACGAAATACGTCTCCTAAAACAATTTCACTAGTTTATTGTTGGTTTTAGTGTCCAAGCATCGTACGTCTAAGTTAAGAAGGCAATGGACTTTGAAATTGTAATTTTTATTTGCTCATTAGATTTTTTAAGATTTCAAACAACTTAATTGTAACATAAATTCCACGCTGAATTTACTGCATTTAACTAGAGTACAAAAGAGACTTAGCAACCATATGGACCAGGGGTGGCGAACCATTGGCACGTGTGTTGATCACAAAATTCATTATGTACTATGAAAAAAAGTATGTAGTTGGCAATTTATAAGGAGAGAACGCGAAGTAATCACTTTAATACCGAAAGTAGAGAATAATCACGAAGTCAAAATTATTTAATATCACATATATGACTGCATTCAACATTTCTTTAGATAATTTTACGAAACGTTCACACCCCTGCTATCGATTATCGATATATTTTATAATTCATAATCCGCTTCATTCGGCCGTGACCCATATTAATTTACAAACACGGAAGACTAAACAGGCATACCTCTCATTGTACCTTCCTAAAGCTCCTAATACTCGTATATTTTACACGAAGTAGTTCAATTGAAAACCAAGTGTTGTCGAGTTTTAGTTTTTCACACTCATACATTTTTATTGTTATAACAAATAAGCGATTTTGAGCAATTTTTTTTTATTAAACTATTGTAATAATACAATTTTAACTTACTAACAATCCTATATAGTTATAACTCAAATTAGGTACAATCTATAGGTACTTCATCATTCGAAATTACTTTGATATTTGATATACTTGGGGTTGTTTCATGAAAATCTGAATTTATAAAATGATAACAAAAGTCGTCCTGCACGAATGTAATACGATAAAATTAAATAGAAGGGCACGAGATAGTAATTACTTGCACCTGATACTCAATCTGATTCCATTTATTATAAATAGCAGGTGGAATCTTGCGTCACGTTCGATACTTAATAATTCGCCCAGGCTGCCTCATCGTCTGGAAAGTTTAATAATATCACCTAACTGCAACTAATGGCATTGATTAAAGCTACAGCTACGTACAATTTACATATTTTGTTTAATTACCAATATTCATTACTTATCGTTTTGATATTTATTTAGACCAGTACAATTAATCTGTAGCGCTCATTATGTAGATTGTCAATCAACTGGCCATTGTGAACGTTAACTGGCGTCAATAAGTCCATACAAACTATGACTGGCCGTCGCAACTGTCTAACTGTACTGGCCAAATGTGAACTGCGCATTAAAAATAATTTAAACAAGGTTTTTTAATCCTATCGTATAAATATGTTATGTAGCTAAATTAAAGCAGTTTTAATAAACTTAAAATGTCGTAAAATAAACGGAGTTTTACTAAAATAAGCATTTCATTCTATTAATTTGAACTATAAAAGTGTGAATGTAATACTCGCATATTTTTTTGCATTATCTGGAACTCACGTTCTTTCTGTAATCTGTGATTCGTGATATCTGTCAATGCACTATTGTGTCAAATGAAATAAAATAGAATTATGGATAGAAATGGATGTTTCTTTGATTATGAAAAAATGTTGAATTTGGCAAATGATTCACTGTCTCTAGTGGATTAGTAGTTTATATTTACGTAATAGATGTTACAAAAGCTAAATATACATAAAAGTTGTGTATAAATCTGAAGATTTGACGTTAAGTTAAACAGTAAATAAGACAAGCGAAAAATGGATGTTGTCGGCAGTGAAATAGGGCAGAAAATGCGGGTAAATACAATAAAACCAGCTTTATTAAGGTTTAATTACCATACAAATCAATATAGTCTTTATATAAAACCAACTTTTGTGCCAATAAAATGTTAAATTTTGTCAAACATTTAACGAACCCGATCCTAATCTCACTATTCGGTGTTTTATTGATTTTATATTTTTTCAGTCTGCCATCAAAGCCAAACTTACGGAATTAGGATGTTATGTTGGTAAGTAGATGTTATTTCAAATTATAAAACAATTCATTTATACCTAGGTTAATGACCCATAAGAATAGGCTAAGATGATTGATTTTGTCATGCATAATCATAAATATAACTACAAGTAAAAATACAGTGTTATATATTGCTTAGTTAGTATGTAAGCAATAAATAAGTGTGAGAAAGCACACTTCCTACTCAATGCCCTTACACTCCCGCTATGGCCTAGACATTTTAATTGAAGCAGTGTCCATGTTTTGAAAGGATCTATTTTAATTGGTTTCAAAAACTATAATTATTGAGTTCAAATCATAGTAATTATGTTCTTGTTAGTATATACAATAATTTCTTTTTTCTGGTAATTTAAAATAACCTTATAATAATATATAATAGTTTCCATTATTACTTAACTAAATAACTATGCTTTTGTAATGTAACTTAAAAAATCAATTTATGCTGTCCAGATGATGAGTTGCCAGATTATGTGATGGTGATGGTAGCCAACAAACGAACCCGAGCTCAAATGGATGAAGATCTCCAGCTGTTCCTAGGGGATAATACGGAGCTCTTTGTAAACTGGTTACATCAGGTGCTTAAGAAGTTGCAGGAGGTACAAGTCACAGCTCCACTGAGTGAGTATTAAAGAATTTATTTAAAATTTCATGCCAAGTATAAACCATTTTTGTTATACATGTCCAAATGAAATGGGAAAGTGTTAATTGGTAACAATTAAGATTTTTGGATAGCCATAACTATAAGTATTCGAAATTACTGTAAAATAAAGTTGTTTAAAAATAACAGTAATTATTGTACAAAGAATAAATATCTACTTGTAAAATAACGGCTAGTAATTTTTTTCTATTATAAAATAAATTGCACCAGCTTTCGCTCATATGGTATTTCAGGAGTAGAAACTGAAAAGGTGAAAGAAAGATCAAAATCTAAGGAGAGGAAGCCCAAAGAGAAGAAAGAAAAAGAAAAACTAAAAAAGAGTGATGCGGGTAAAAAAACAAAAAAGAAGGAGAAGGAAAAAACGCACAAAAAGAAGGAAGATAAGAAAGTACATAAGGAAAAAAGAAAGAATAAACATAATGAAAGTATCCGACCGAATATACCACCAATGCTTATGAATATGGAAAAACATTCAGAGCCATCAATTACAGATGTGTTTGCCGGACAGATATTAAAAAACCATGGAATAACATTAGGTCATAAACACGATATAACACAGATTGATGCACTTTTACTTAAAGAAAAGAAACCAATTTTACCTATAATAGATCCTGCGTCAATACCATCACAATCAGAACCCTCACCAGATGAGGATGATAAGAACGCTGCTAGAGAAGAACAAATAAAAGAAGTACATGACATTGAAGCTAAAATAAGCGGCTTGAAGAAGAAACTAGCAGACCAATTGGATACAATGTCTGAAGATGAAGACTTCCTCAATATTAGAACTGAAGCGGAAGAGCTTTTGAATGATTTTGCTGAAGATGTATTTCAGGCAAGTACATAAATGGCTTGGCTCATGTCATTGTATGAAATTGATGGCTGGGTCTATCATTCAGTAAGAATACTGAATGTAATAGCTGTCATCTTTTATTCATATAAAACTGGTAAATATTTTCACAGGAAATTTCACAAACAGCACCAGTAACGACTCCGCCTCTCGATTCTCGAAAGTCTCCGATATCACACGCTCCTGCACCACTAATTCAAACTCCAAAAGTCCTTCCTAGAGACCTCCCAAAAGACACTTCCAAAAACATATCCAAGGAATTATCAAAAGATTTGCTCAAAAAAACACCAAAAGAACCTGTTGATATTCTTCCCCATATCGAATTAAATCTGCCCAAAAGACCAATTAGAGAGAGACTTGGAGTTCGTGGGACAACTAAGGAGTCAGCGGAAAACAAAGAAAAGGACAAAAATAAGGCAAAATTGCCCACAAGTCCTGAAAGGTTGTTGTTAATTACAAACTCATTTAAGGTAGTAAGAGAGAATATGCAGCTTCTGTTGGTTTTTGTTTGTTAACATGTATAATTTTTGCATATAAAATGTTTCACTGAAATAACCCGAGTTTCAGATTAACGCCCGAGAGACAGCCTGAAATGAAACCGGAACAAACTGCGAAGAAGTATTCTGGTGGTACACCTGAACGGCCATGGAGAAGTTCTGTTTCAGATGAATCTTCAGTAGAAAAACCTGAACAGAATAAAAGACCGATTTCAAAGTATGTTAAACTCATATTGTTGTTTACAAAAACTGCTTTGTTAGGATGTCAGTAATCACTGCATAATATTGAATAATTCTTTTTTTAATTAAAGGTACTACACTATGGTAATGGTATAGGCTATACATTTTTACTTTTTAATTTAGTTGATTAGTAAATGCGAGAAAGGGACAAAAACTGCAACAACAGCAAGAAGAAAAATTGCCATAGTAATGATAATAGCCAAAGGCAAAAACCATCGTTGTTTAAAGTATTTGAATTTTTATATTTGCGGAATGCAATCTATTAGTAGTATAGATTATGATAGGTATGGGAGTAACAGAAACGACGCTTGCTTAGTGCAGACTGGTTTATTGACGTTACCTAGATGTAGCCGTCGGGCGCAGCCGACCGTTCCATTCCAGGCATGGTACATGTACATACACAACAGATTACATTCAGCAAATCACAAAATTCTTGTATTATAGAGGAGAGATTTTTATTTTTGTGTGTATTAAAATAACTCAAACTTCTGGGCCTATTTTAAGATTTCTTTTAC